GAGGAGATTGTTGTGTTAATCTAGTTGTCTCTAGAAATTGTTTATGTATTTTTGCACATTTTTCATGTGGATTAGGAAGTTTTGAAAACCGTTTTGTGGTTAGGTGGTTAGGAAAACCGTTAAGTGGTTAGTTAGTTTTATTTTCAGAAAAATGTGATGTATTTGCTTATAAATTAAACCAGAAAATGTAGAGGGTGTGTGAACTACTAAAAAAATTCCTCCATTTTTGTTGGCGTTTAAAGTTTGGTTTTGAAAACCAACAATGTCTGACCTCCAAGCTCATCCCCTTTCTTCTCCTCGACCGACAAGACTGTACTGCTCCGCTATGGCGATACCATGCCTATCACAGCCTCCACCTCCACCTCCCTAAACAATACTGCGAGCTCCCCCTTCTACCACATCCCCCTTCTTCCCCCACCTTCCTTCCATGCACCGAATTCATCCGCTACCTCGACAACTACGTGGTGGCCTTTAGGCTCGAACACCACATCCGATTCCGCCGTCGAGTTGACTCTGCCGAGTTCGAATCAGCACTGGCACGGTGGCGAGTTCTCGCGGCCAACCTTGAGACCGGTGAGGTGGAGGAATATGAGGCTCGATTCGTGGTGGTTGCAAAGGGGGAGAATGATGAGCCGGTGCTGCCGACCGGGATTGTCGGTCTGGACCGGTTTGAGGGGTTGGCGGTTCATTCGCATCAATTCCGGACCGGGAAGGCTTACCAAGGGCTCGATGTACTTGTAGTTGGGTGCGGGAATTCGGGCATGGAGATTGCATGCGACCTTGCGGAATGTGGGGCCCGAGCCACGATTGTGGTGCGGAGCAAGGTTCGTTTCTCGGAGCCATTTTTATGTTCGGTATTCACTTGTACAAGTAATAGTTTAATGTACTGAACAAAACGAAACTCTAATATATTTTGAACAGCAGCAAAAGAACCAGCTACAGTAGTACTTACAATATACCCTCTGCAGCCTAGCCAAAAATAAAAGAAAATGGATACGGAGGTTGAATCATAATATAATATATCTATGAGGACAGCTAATCCATGCCAATAATTCTAAAGGGGAGGAACACCGATCGATGTACAAAAACTTAATATAATTAAGGTTGTCAAAACTGTTCTCTATTCCTGAACAGTTCGTGTTCTGCTCGCTAAGCAAACAAGCTGAATACAAACACACTTTTTGAGCTTGAAATATAAACGAACCGAACACGAGCTGAGCCTGGCCTCGCTCTACACTGGACTGACTATAAATTTTCTGAAAATGAAGAACAGATGATCTAAAAATCAATTATTAGAAGTCTCTAACATATATTATTGTGAGCCAATAGTAAGGCTGGATTATATTAGTTACTATATTGTCTTTCAATGTATTTTAAAGATGTACATTTTGATGGCTTCCAAAGATTGATTAGATTAATGATTTATTTATATTGGCATTGGGAACATGCATGCAGGTACATCTGGTAACGAGGGAGATATGGCGGATTGCACTTGTCGCCATGAAAATTTTGCCATTTAGTTGGGTCGATTTGATTGTTCTTACTCTATGCTACATGTGGATGGGGAACACGGCCAAGTATGGTTTGCACCGGCCAAGTAAGGGACCCCTTTATTTGAAAATGAACACTCTATTCTACCCCGTTGTGGATGCTGGCACTTTCTCAAAGATTAAATCCGGCGAGATTGAGGTTCCTCCAAATCTCGCAATTTCTTACTTAAAATTGTTGAACTCTATTGTACATGTCTTATAATGAACTTTATTATTATTTTAATAACATTATTTGCATATCTTCATTATTTTAACATCTGGTTAATGTTAATCACTACAAGACGGCTATCAAAATTAGGGTTGTAAATGAGCTAAGTATTAGCAAGCTCAGTTTTCGCTTGTGTTTGGCTCATTTGCAATTAATTATGTTTGAAATTGTCTCATGTTCTAAATTGTTCGTGAATGATGTGTTCGTGTTTGGCTCGAAATTGATTCTTGTAAATTAATTAAAAAAACATAGACGTAAAGCGTTGCATTCAAACCTTCACTATTTCTATATAATAAAAGTCACAAAATCACATGACCACACAAATTATTGTTATTTCTACATATATATATAAATATATATAATATGTTATTACATAAATATCATATATAATTTCCTTATTTCGAGCTAAAATAAGACAAATACGATTGAACATAAAGTTACTCGTGTTCGCTTCTTTATAATTCAAGCTTAAAAAAATTATTCTCGTTCGACTCGCTTACATAACGAATGATTCGAACATGAGATATTCGCTTTTTTAATAACCCTAGTTGCAACCATGGATCAAAAAATGTATATACTTTGAACTTTTTTTGGCTATTATTCTTAATCATTATATGAATTTTTATCATATTCTTATGATTATAATTCTCATATTTTCATGAATGAGTAGGTATTTCCTGAAATAACAGCTATCGAAGGCAAGAATGTTGACTTCGTGAACGGGAAGCAGCGCCGCTTTGATGCTATTATTCTCGCAACGGGTTATAGAAGCGCGGTTAAGAAGTGGCTTAAGGTAACTAACTAATCGTTCCAATAGTGATTAGTACCCTTATCTTCCTAAAATTAATTTAAAAAGTAGATTAATCACTAAATTCAGTCTAAGTTCTACTCAAATGTGATGCTTATGTTTACTTCCGTATTCAGTAATTATTTTATGATGGCATTAACATGCATACCGCCTAGTTCCTATATTTACAACGCCTAAACTTTGCTTTATACATTTGTACCTCCTAAATCCTTCATATCACATAAAAATACTTCCATTTTAACTGTGTGTGTGTGTGTGATATTTAATCTATATATCAACGAAAAAATGTACAGATAATACTATAGCTCATTCTTTATGCTCGAGTCATTATCACATATACGATGTTGAGATAATGTGTTACATTATATGCACTTTTTTCATCAATGTCTTTTAAAGAATTAGAAGTGTGAACAACAATATTTATCAAATCCTCAGATGAAATCAAGTTTACAGAGAAATAGTATATGTATTATGTAATAGTAATTAAAAAAATTGAATGCTTAAAATAAAATTTATTAACATAAGTTGTTCGTTTAATGCACAGGGTGATAATTTCCTTATTGGTGATGATGGAATGGCGAAGCAAAGGTTCCCCAAACATTGGAAAGGGAACAATGGACTCTATTGTGCAGGCCTCGTTAGGAGAGGGATTTACGGTTTAGCTGAGGATGCAATAAGCATTGCAAATGATATAAGCAACATATTACAAAATGAGGAGCAGAAAGAAGTTTAGTTATTAAATAAACATGTTGTCATGTCATAAAGAATAACTAATTCTTATCATTTCCCGGCAGGAGACTTCCTTGCATAACATAATATTTGAAATAAAGAAAGGTTGCATATTCTTTCGCTGATAATTATCTTCTCGATGGCATTTGTTTGTATTTTTTTAACACGATCTGTTCACTTTAATCTTTTGTGTGGATAATATTAGAATTATACTAACAAGAATAAGAAAAGAAGCTCTTAATTTTTTCTATATTATCTAAAAGTACAAGACTAATGCAAATGATTTTAATGTTACCGGGCAAGTTGCAAGTTGCACCAAGTATTAAAATCAAAACTATATCAAAAAATACAAACCATTAATCATTGTAAAACGAATGAGGTCAACTAAATTTTAGCTAATAATAAATAATGTTTCAAGTATAGAGGGGAATTCATGTGAAATTACTCGCCATATTCACTATATCGGCTTGAGTTTTGGCGAGTTGATTTAGTTCTTGAATGATGAATATTGGTGAGTTTGGAAGAGAGGCTTTGTTGACAATAGGGGACTATGCCTAGTCAAAGTTAGATGGAATACCTTTTAGACTTTGCTTGGCTGATCCCTAAGCTGAGTATGCTAAATTAAGAGCTTAAATTGATTGGAATTGAAAGACAGGTTTACCATATTTTTATTGCTTCAATGAGTTCATCATTTTTGTCCCTAAAGTTGATTCAAGTGCTACTTGGATGAATAGTTACTTGATTTCCTTACATTTTTTAAGGAAATATGTAAGGAAAAAATAACAAAAATTCATATAATAAGCTATCATATCACTTTTTAGTATATTGTGTTTATTTAACTTTTTGTACACAATGACGGTGCACCCATACTAAAAAAATTTATAGGCTTGCCCATGACAGTAGGTGAGCCCCACAATAGCATTCATAGTGTTGTAATGCCATATGACTAATATCACAGTGTGACGACTCTTGACAGTTAGTTTAAAAAAAATGTAAAGGTATGTGGACAAGTGTCAATGTAGAGAGTGAATTGAGATCAAGTTTGAAGAACAAACAAGAAGATTCCAAATAAGTAAATTGCCCTAGGAGAGAAAGGAGATTAATATATCGGATCCAAGAAATAAAAATTCTAGTTACTTCTTTCCTAAATATATTTTATTCTAGTATAATTTTGAAAGTTTAAGTGTTTTATCTCTCTTTCACTTTCTTAAGTTATGAACTAATAATTTTATTCTTTATTTATGGTGAAATTGAACTATTTTTATGATGAAATTGTATAGTTTGTTTTGCATCACGTTGTTCTTAATTTAGTTGTGTATTGACCATATGCATCTTAAACTCTGTTATGATCTTTAAGCATTGGAAAACTCATAGTGGAACAATTAGTGTGAACTAAACAAATCTTTAAGTATATATGCATATACTACTTTAAGATTTGTAATCTAATAAGAAATATATTTTATGTGATCACTTAAAGTAATTGATGCACCCCAAAAATTGACACAATAATTCAGTTCCCTGACAACGACGCTAGAAAACTCATTATTTTCCAAGCTACTTGATTAGATCTTTAAATTCAAAATTTTCTAAACACTGGGGTTGCTGACGCAAATGTGCGTATCGTTTCATAATATAGGGCTCTAATGGGTCTAGATTGTCGATCCCACAAGGAGTGAGGTGACGAATCCCTTATGCAAATTTCTAGTATACTAAGTTCAGGTCTTAGTTTGAAATGTCAATTAAGGTAGTTTTCCTAAAAAATCCTAAATTACAGCACTAATTCTAAAGCTACATCTAACTAAATCAATTGGTTTCGTGAATATCAATATGTAAAAGCTACATTTCTCTTGTGATTGCTTAAGTGGATTGTAGGATCAAATACTACAAATTGCTATTGTATCTAGTGATAAATAGGAGCAATTATCTTGTTTACCATCTTCCGAGCGTGTAAAAAAGTTTGGTTAACCAAGTTTTAATTTCTTAAACTCTAGATTGAACCCATCAAAGCATATTTTCTTATCTATTTGCATTGTTTAAAGTCTACTTTCATTATAGTCTATAGAACAATGTGAATACTCTTGTTGTTCGTCCACCGTTCTTCCCAGTTCTAATGGATCACAACGATTTTTAACAATTTTTATTTGCCTATACAAAAAGTAAATAAAGCATAGAAGAATACTGACCACATTGACGTTGAAAACTGATTTTAAAAGCTTTCTACACATCTTAAAATACTACTTATTCATCACAAGAAAAATGCATGGAAATCTACTCACAAAGCATGAGGAACACAACAGGAATCATCATCAATTAACAAAATAAATCCATTAAATGTGTTTTTACAAAAAAATACAAGACAAATGATAACACGATACATCACTTTTTTCCTCTGAAAAGAAATGAAATGTCCCTCCAATAAGGTATACAAGTGCTCTCTACAATGTTGAAATGACCCCCTCACAAATTTCTCTAAAAACCCCTCACCAATCTCAAGAAAAGTGAAAATTGATAAACCATAGATCTACCTATGAATCCTTGGTCTCCTTGGGGTTTCCAAAGGTTCGGAGATGCCAAGAGTCTCGTCTCTAAGTATCAAAATTTTTCAAATAACACACCTCATCGTGTTGAATAACTATAGAAATCGTTTTGGCATGTACCAACGCCTTGGTGCCCAGTCTGTGGTTGCCTAGGAGAACACTAGCACCTAGCCGCCAAGTTGGCACCAAGGAACTCCTAGGCAGCACCTTGGCTCCCAAAAGCTTGCACCTAGACGCCAGAGTGCTGGAATCCGTTTAGCTCTGTTTCACATCTGCATCAATTTGCATTAGTTCTGATTCACTCCATGTTTCCTACCTGTTATACCTGCAAGAAAAAAAATAAACATCTCTTTCTTTAAAGTATAATTTCATCTAAGAATAAATGCTAAATTTAAAGGAAATTAAGCATGCTAAGGGAAACATCAAAATCCCCAAAACCTAAACGTTACTTGTCCTCAAGTAACACTACAAATTTAAAAACCAAATTTGTTGATTTGTGGTAGCGGGATTCATTATAATTTACTATAATTTTGCCTAAAAAATGTCATAATATAACTTAGGAAAAATTATAGTAAATAAGCTTAGGACTTGGAATCCTGATTTTATATCTACTTTGATAATTATTGAAATTTGTCAAACTAAGGATCTCTATAAGGTATGATTCTGTTTGTTTTTTACTCTTTTATTTTTTAAGGAGTCGTCAATCTGTCGATCGTCGTATACATCCCTTCCTCGAATAAGTCTCTCTTCTGGGTCATATGAATGACCAGAAGAAGAGATGAAACAAAAAAGAAGGACAAACAACAACGACAACAAACAAAAGAAAACGTAAAATGTGGAGAGCCTACATGTGGTAAACATAGCAAGGATGGTCAAATATGTTCGCCAAAAAAAATCAGGCAAAAATACCTTGGACTGGTATCCGCAAATGAGTACCTACGTAGGCTACCCATAATTAGAGATTCAGGTGTAGGTGTTTGTTCTGGGGTCAAGGATTCTTCTGATGAGACATATCCCGCTTAGTTAATTATATCTTAAGTGTTGCCCAAGAATACTCTTGATCCAATGAGGTTTTTCTTACTCAATAGTGCTAACTAGCGCAGAACTATAAAAGGAGGTTATCTCGCAGGGGGATGCTTCGATGCTTTCAAAGCTTCTGTTAGACCACGGGGTAGAGAATGAGTCTCTTACGGTCCCTACATGGGTAACAGACTCATCGGCAAACGAAACCTTTGAAATAACTGTATCATCCCAAAGGGGGTATCCCAATGCATCGGAGCATGTTCGGATCGTAAGATAGAGGACCAATCTGCATATCCCAAACAAACGACAACTCATCGACATCAAGCCGCCAAAATGATATCAACAAAGGCAAGGGAGTGAAAGGGCACAACAGGGGTAGTCAAAGGAGGGGATGGTAGATGTAGCCAGGTCGGGCTATCACGGACCCCTCATCCCAAGCCACTGAGGCCCCAAGTCTACCTTGTGGACATATAAATATAACTGTAGGTTCGCTGGTTCATGTTGGGGGTCCTTCCTTTCTGCAGGGGTGGGGAAATCTGCTCTGCATGTTCATGTAAGGTTTTGTATAAGCTTCATTTGTTGGCATTTTGGATTAATTTTCCAACATGATTCTGATTCCTTTTGCTGCTCTCAACTTCATAACCCAGATTTAACTGCATTAGCAAGACATTTTTCCTAGCTTCAACTCTTGGCTACTTTGCATGGCTAGGTCTTGTTCTCGACCCCTTTACATATTAAATGTTGTATTTAGATCATACATACCACACAATTCTTATGTATGTACATATATAGCATTCAAACTTCATCCCCACTTCCCATTCCTATAGATCAGTAGCCTATATCCAATTGAGATTATTAGATTATCTTTTTTTTTAAATCAATTTGCATTTATAACATGCTAATAATGGTGTTATTTTTTATATGATCTTAAATATTTAGTGCTAGATCCTTCATTTTTTATAATTTCAGCCTTTACTTGTGTATGTTTCGTTGAATTCGATCTATTAGTCTTAAAGATAAAATATAATTTTTAAAACTATATCAAGTAGGGGCATTAACATACACACCCCTCAATTTCTATATATTTACGATTTTTAAAACTATATCAAGTAGGGGCATTAACATATACACCCCTCAATTTCTATATATTTACATTATCTGGCACACATATTTTTATTTTTATATTTATACCATAAATCTTTCATTTATGCAATTATACCAAGGGAAATTTATATATATACCACGCTTTCTTACATATCTAACGCCCAAAGTTTGATATTTACATTTTTACCCCCTTGGTGTCATAAACTTATGCGTGAAAATGTGAGTTTTACTTTTAAAAAGTTAGTGATGACAATAATTTTTTTTATGTGATGTTAAAGATTTGAGTGGTATGTATGTAATTAAGAATATTTGGGTGCTTGGTATGTAAATAGATAAGAATTGTGTGGTATGTCTGTAAATTCCATGTCCCAAACTTTAAATAACCTACTAAAATTTCAAAAAAAATTTATTAATTTCAATCAGCATTGACTTTCTTGAGAGATTTAGTTGCTTATGGGTATAGTTCACCAATGAAATTTTTGAAGAAATTAATTGTCAAGACATAAAACAACTCTCGATTTTTTAGCTTCTGCTGCTATATTTAGCTAGCATTTCACACTTGCAATCCCTTAAATAGAGTGAAATTGTACTCTAAAAGATTAATACATATTTTAGTGTAACATTTGAAGCATAAATATTGAAGTTTAGCTTACTCATGCGAGAGCAATCTTAAGATAGGTGACCTGAAAAATTGTACTATATGACAAAATGGTGAGACCACTAGGTCAAAGTGGATAATATCTTGATGAATGAGAATTTGAGTGGTATCAGAGCCTATCTTCATTTTCAACATCACTAGTCTTCTTGGTACTGTGGAGGGAATAAATTTCTCTAATAGTAGTTAAACAGGCTCCCAACTCTGGCACATAGATCTTGCATATGTCATGACAACTCACCGCTTAAGTGACTAGCTAAAGTCTAGGAGGTCCTAACCCATGCGACTTCCAACTCCAGCCTCCGTTGCGTATGAACGTCGCACAATTTATCTTTATAAACTGCATGACTCATGACTCCCATAACTCTTTATTACGACCTCTATGACAACTGATGCTCCCGAAGTAATTATATATGACTTATATAGGCACATAACCAACTATTACCACGACATTCACTTACGACAACTATAACAAGTTTACTCTACAACATTCATGACGCGGTACTTGCTTCATAGCCATCGACTACGACCTTAACGTTCTATTATATCTATTATTGTTGAGCCATCACTGTATATCAATATTATAACTTCTTCTCTAATTTTATAGAAGAATAGACTAATGTATTCACAATTACATAGTGAATTATTTCAACCGTGCTAGATGTATGCCTGTAAACGAGCCGAGCTCGTGCGAGCTTAGGCTTGGCTCATATTCGACTCGTTCCAAACAGTTCGTGTTCGAAATATGCTCGTGTTAAAAAATGGCTCGTGAACTGTGTGTTCGTGTTCGACTCGATTTAAATGTTCGTGTTGGTGTTCAACTCGAAATTGGCTCGTTAAAATTAAATAAAATAAAATAGATGTAAATCGTGAGATTCGAACCTGGACCAAATATATACAAAATAAAAGACTAACCACTTTACCTCTTAAGATATTATAATTTTAACTTAGATATAAATATATATATATATATATATTCGTAAATTGTAGATTGAATTTCCTCCTCCAATTCCGGGGGTGCATCTCCAATTGGAGGTCTTCAAAATCATCTGACATTTCTAGACAGTTATTATGAAAAACTTGAGTCTTTTCTGAGCAGACTCTATCGGATTCTAAATGGTTGGTGACGACCAAGCAATATTCCACATCATCAACTGGTCCAACAGTCCCGAATAATCCTACACCTTCTTTCGAATTCAACTTGTAATGCTCGTTATTCCAGAATTTTTCGAAGCGGTGGGATTCATCTTTGGACCAGTGCTTTGGTATTCATCCTTGTTTAGCAAGATTTCGAACACTAGGAGAATACCAGTCGACAAGAAGTTCCATTAATCCTTGAAAATTCTTCTATTCTAGTTGTACATTTGGTTCGGAACTGAAAGAGGAAGATTTCTATATAAATAATATTATTATAGAAATAATATATGTAATATATTATTATATAAATAATTATATAATTTTTTTTATTTCGAGCTAAAACGAGCCGAACATCAGCGAACAAAAAACTGTTCGTGTTCGGCTTATTTATAATTCGAGCTTTAAAAACTTGTTCGTGTTTGGCTCGTTTATTTAACGATTGAGACGAACAAGCCGAACACAAGCTACTTAACGAGCCGAACACGAGCTGTTCGCGAACAATGAACTTTTTTGACAGCTCTAGCTAGATGCCGTTATTTTTTCTCTACTTTTTTAGGATTTTCATGTAAATATTGAGGCGTGTTTTTTTGTATATTTATTTTTATTTATATATATTAGATTTTTGTTCACTAATGAAGCGCTAAATTATTATTGTACTATTGTAGATCTTTGAGAATACATCAAAATTGATATTTAATTGTTAGATATATAAATGCATAAAAATTTAGTGGCATGTTTGTAAATCTGCATTTTCCTCATTTTGCGTTTTTTTGGTTGTGCTGAAATAGTACAGCGTTAAGCGGCAGCACGCTCATCTCATTTTAGCTTTTCGCATCCGAGGTCTCGCTTCGTAGTCTGCTGCTGGATCGCCGAGCGATCTTCGCGCCGCTGGATCGCCGCTACTGGATCGCCGCTACTGGCCCCCCCCCCCCGCTGCTGGATCGCCGCTGCTGGATCGCCGAGCGATCCCTGTCCGCGCGCTTGCGATGAACTCCGACCCGGCCGTCCCTAAAGAGCTCGGTGTTCTTTTGTAAGATAAAGACCTCGGAAGGGTGCCCCAAGGCTCGCAAGATAAAGATATCGGAAGCTAAAGACCTCGGAAGATAAAGACCTCGGAAGATAAAGACCCCAAGGCGAATCGAAGATAAAGAACTCGGAAGGGCGCCCCAAGGCTCGCAAGCAAAGTCGGAGCCTCGGCCGGGTCGGAGATCATCGCAAGCACGAAGCAGCAGACAGGGGAGAGCTCGGCGATTCAACAGCGGACAGGGGAGAGATTGACGATCCAGCAGCGGACAGGGAGACCCTCAGATATGAAAACCTAAAATGAGACACAGGGGAGAGCTCGGGTTCAGCCTATTATTTGGCCTTGCATTTGTAGGTGTTGATAAGAATTTGGTATGAAATGATATAGATCACTGAAATCTTCTTTCTTTTGACTAGCTTGAATTAATTGTTGAATTAATTGCGAATTAATTGCAATCATGTTTTGTTGTGGTTACTATTTCATATATAATTTGCAGGATCCATATATTGTCACTTGCGTTTGATCTTTTCCATTGTGTAAGATCCTCTATATATTTACTCCTTCAAATAATTTCGGCAGGTTGATTTAGCAAAATATGTGGATGCATTGTTTGGTTTTATATCAAATTTTGCGAGGAATTCTGTTTAAGTGGGAAGGTTGCATGTAAGGATGGTTCAGAATTGTCACTTGAAGTAGCAGATAATATGCAACAAGTTTGTATTTGATGCATTTAATAATGTTTTATCTACTTTGCTTGTGGATAAATATATTTCATCCTTTCTTTTTCATTCTAATGTACCATTGCCTTGACAGCTCCTACTATTTGCATTTCCAACTCTCCATATTCTTCTCCCAAATAATTGACCATGCTCTCAACTTCCCATTTTCTCGTTTCATCCCTTTTAAAACCTTTCGAGTATATGGTATATGTGTTTCCGACTAAAGCTACTTTATGAAAGAACTTCTCTCTCCTACTCTTTTGTTTATATCTCCACCTGAATTCGAACTGATTTAGTGAAAGAATTATAAAAACAATAGCACAATACTTGGGGGATGAATTTGTATCCTCTTAAAAATGGATCAACGTATAAGTTTTACATTCTTGAAAACTATTATGAATTTGACTTCTTATTTGGATAATGTATTATCTAAACAATGTAGCTAGTTGTATGGTCTAAAGTTATTCATAAAAAAAAGAAAAGAACATAGCTAGTTGAGCTTTATTATTAACTAAATCATAATGCCTCACACAGTAAAAATTCTTGAGTTTTTATGCTTCCCTTCTATTTGACATAAACCTTACTTATCTCAAATATGACAATACATTGTAATTGCTTGTAAATAAACACACTTTTTACCGTTATGCACTTACGATGCTGACCTTCCATTACAAGTAATTACAAAAAACTTGATTAGTGATTCCCATCTATTATGGACACATTTAGTGTTAAGCTTCTTCATTCTGATCTACATTTATGCAAATTTAGAAATGTATAAATGATTACGTGCGGTATGCATGTAGCTAGGTTTTTTTTTCCATGAGAAAAGTGCAATTCCTTAGGCTGGTTTTACTTGCCAATTTATGAGAATAAATGATGTAATAAAAGTCTTATCTGTTATGTTTATTCTGCATCATTGATTGGTTCATTCCCATATTCCTTCCGAACATGGCCATTTGTTATTTATCTATCGTTCATATATTTTTTTCTTTTTCTAAATAGGCTTTCTCGTTTTAATTATCACTGTATCTTTTCATCGTTGCTGAAATGAGTAAAAGGGTAGCATAATCTTCCTTTGGCAAAAGCTGTTAAAAGGTTGAGATTTTAGCATACTAATTTTGGTTCTTATCTTATTTGGTTAGTCGATGTCATCCAATGGTGTAAGCTTAACTTTTCCTCTGCCATTCATTTTTATATAAAGTTATCCTAGAATCACGGATTAAACTGCAAAAATTGCGCTTGGTGTCTTCTTCCTTTGATATGCAAGCTTTAATAGTGGGTGTCTGCTTAACAATTTTATATGTTTAGCTGGCTTTTGATATATGATTGCTAGTGTTAAAACATACCTTGTGAGGGATGATTTTTAATTTAGATAACTCTCATGTGAGGGGAAAAACAATGAAATTTTAAGAGAGTGGAGAGCAAACATATTACTTTAGTTAATTAGATTTGTATAATCTTTATCTAATTTAATCGTTTCATTTTGATTATGATTTCTCAAGTTATGGTTAACTATTACTTTAGTTAATTTTTTTAATTATATTTGTTCTTTTTTTTGTAATGTAAATCTTTCTTTAATTTATTTCTGTTATAATTTTAGTTTTTAAGTTATAACTAATATTTGCGAACTATTAACTTAACTTTTGATAAACTCTTACAATTATATTGTTAAATTTTATTACTTACAATCTTAATCTTACTTTAATTTTATTTTATTATCATTATTATTGTTTATATACAATTGGAAACTTACTAAATGATGAAATGGACCAATATATAGTAGCACTTACTAATTGAACATAACAATCGTACTTATTTCGATCGTTGATACTAATATTTCAAGTTTCAATAAAATTTTAATATCATAGCGTTCAACATTTTCTTTTCTATCTAAATAGTTAACTAATCATTAGTATTTACTTTCTAATTACATATTTATCTTTATATAACGTTTTGACTTCCATCATCTCAATGTTGTATATGCATAAAATATTAATAATATTCCTATTGTTATTATCTTTTATGAAATATTCTTGTGCTTCTATTCCTTTGATTTAATATTTTTTTCTTATATATTTAAAAATTTAGAAGTTGCATAAGATCAATTCGGCTCTCGGTCGACATAGTCGACACGTACCTTTTTTTATGTGTTCCTATTTTCTTTGCAATTGTTATGTCTCTGTGATCCCTAAAAACTGCTCGTTGACTTGTAATTTCCCTGATATTCATTCTACCTCTCATTGTAGGTGAGTTTGGGAGCACAAGTCCTCTATTTCCAGCACTGCACATGCTTCTTACACTAGCTCAATTCCTCCCTCCACCTCATCTCTCTCTTTTCTAGCAGTTTCGCCCCCTTCTCGATGTTACATGAGAGAATGGACCACTTCATTTCCTTCGCTACATTGGTTCTATTCGCTGCAGAGGATCTGTTTTTATAATAACAAATCATTTAATGTTAGTTCGAATCAAATTTGCAATAGAAGAAAAAATTTCTGTTAGTTCGAATCAAATTTGCAATAGAAGAAAAAAAATTTATTTTTTTTAATTATAGGGCACTACAATCTTATGCACCTTGTAATTCCTTAGAAGTGTCACACAAATCTTTGTTGGAAATCTTGGTTCTCCTAAGATGTAAAATTATTTAAATTTTTTTTAACGCACCATTACTTGTTATAACAAAATGTTTCTTCAAGCCTTATTGTTAGAATAAATTATTTGCTTATGCAAAAAGCGCCTATTTAGATTAATTTGAATTAAAATAGACGATAAATAGCCATAGAGATTGGACATGACAATCTTACGACTTTATGCAGTTTGACTATAGCTTTTATTGACCTGAGAATAAAGATGAGTTCATCAACTATCCTATAATTCATTCACGGACAAATCATCGGGGATAGAAATAAAAACTTTTCTAAACCTAAACACTCCCATTTACACCATAAGGGGATTGAAATAACAGGATAAGCCACCAGCCATATTATTTTCAATAATAAATCACACATTTCCTCATTAGTCGGGTTTCAATTTTTTTGCTTTACCAGCATACATAACATAGATTTTAATTTCCTTAAACCCACTCATAAATTGTTACAAACATCCAAGCATGTATTAATATGATTAGATAAAGATACTTGTTTGAGATTAAGCTATTATATGTCCACAATAATGGGTATTTTAAACATATTAAATCACGTTTTACTGAATTAATGCTTTTATTTGGGATCTAAGGAATATGAAAAATGTAAATAAATGACTAAGATTAAAGTTAGTTGTTATTGTGCTCTTTATTTTGCTGTTCGAATCATTTCCATGACTATGATGTTCAGTATTTATATCAATAGCTTAGGGCTTGGTTAGGAATTTCATATGTTATACCCATACAACACACTTAGTTTGAAATTATCCAAAACAACTTCATATTCATCTTTTGAATGTATGCAATTTGTTACTTAAGTTCAAAATAATTACACATCTTATATTTCCTCATTTTAACATTAACAATGGATTTTGGTTATAATAAGTTATAACCTTTTTATATTTCACTTCTTATGTTGAATCTACATAGCTTATTGTTCTCTAGCTCTTTGATGTAAACTTTATTGTTGAAATTAAAAAAAAAACAAATAATAAAAATCGATTTCATATTCTTTTAATTATTTTTGAAGCAATTTATAATTTTTTAGTGCATGTAAGAAATTGCAATGGGAAAATGATGATCAATCTCATTTATTTTGCTTTTTTGTTTTTTGGTCTCGCATATATTTAGGTAAGAAAATGATATAAGATAATTTGATGTTGAGAAAATTGAAGTGAGAGAATTTGTTGTTGTCTTGCCCATTCAAAAACTCATTATTTTACAAGATAGTACAAGTTGTCTCTTCTTTTTCTAGTGGTATGTATGTAAATATTTATTTTTTTTGGTGGAACAAGTGCTTTAACATACTAAATATTTGTATTTGATTGTTCGGAACTGATGTAAACTAAGAAGTTAATTGTGACAGATTTAAGGGCAAAGGTATTTCTTATACAGGTTGACGGTGTGCACCTATGGCACGGAATCAATGTAGGCATTTGAATGGTTTAGAACCTGGTTTCATGCACTTCTCATTAAACATCTTACAGAACAAAGTTTTTTCATTCACGTATCAGACACACTTCAAAACTAAGATATTGAAACTAATTTTATGCCACGTACAAAAACTTGACCAATTATGAGAGCATGTTTTATCCGAAACATAGTTTTCGATCCTCGGGCATTTAACCTGCATTTTTTATTGAGTGATTTCCATGAAAATTTTCTTTTTACTATCTGTTTAATCCTTTATTCTCTACATTATAAACCTAGTTGTTTTATAATTAATAAAAACATCGAGTCTTCCATTACCTCGTTTTTTCATGGTAATATTTGTTTTTCTTCTTAGCCTTCAAAAGCTATGAAATTGTGCTGCAAAACAATATTTAAGCACATACAACTTTTATGCTAGCATCAGTTGACATATTCTAAAAGCATTCAAGGCTCTGTGACATCCAGAGATTCAGTAATAGGTGTCATTAAAGATGCATTTACCAAATGTGCCAGAATAACAAATGTTTTGCACAAGCTCGATGCCTCCAATTCTTGTGCAATTGTAATTAAGAGTATAAATGAATTGTTTGTTGTGGAAATCTCTTTCCCGAACTCATCCCTCTCTTTTCCTTTGGTGAAACAGTGGATAAAGTTACACTTTAGCATATCATACTTTGTCTTATATCAATCCTATTGATCTAGCTTGCCTAACAGTTTTAAACTTCAAATGTTGTGTGAAGATTTTAGTGATGTCAATGAAATGGATGGTGCTCCATTTCTTTATAAGTGGTTGCTTTACTATTGTACAGAATTGCCGAAGAACATTTTGGGAGAGATTCTTGAATAGGCATGGTCTCAAAACTATTGTAATGACATGAGATTTTCACTTCTTACATTAGTATTCTACATTAATTATATACTAGATTTATAGGAACTTCTAGCATATGATCAGCTAGAAGCATGGAACCCTGTACTTTGCCATAAAATGGAGATTGAAGTAATCAATATTCTCCTGATGAATGTTTTTAATGTTAGAGATTTCAAATTTCAGAGATCTAAGATTTATTTGAGGAAGGCTTTGGTACTTAGAACTCGTGGGATAAAAAATTTAATCAGTTGTTTTGACTGTCTCAGTGAAGCTATTTTCCTTTTGGTACATTTCACCATCTTTTTATTTTTATGCTTATGGTAGCATTCCAATATGCCTAGTTCATAATGTTTTGATGTAAATTATGTGTTTTAGGGGAATATAACTTATGATTTCTCTGAAGCAAAAACTTTAGGATATCATCCTTTGGTCTCTGCTTACTTCATGGGAGTACAATTTGCTCAAGAGACTAAGAAGGTCTTGGAGGTAGCATTTTTGTATTTTAAATTCATAAATCATCTTCAATTTTAAACATAAATTACTATGTTTAACGCTATGTTACATTATTGTTGTGTACTTTGTGCATTTGATTCATGTTGTAATTCTTTCGACTAATTCATTGTGATGTAAAATATGGAATCAATTTACTATCTAAATTGGACATCAATGCTTGTCATACTTGGACTAGTGAACTTAAATCAAGTATAAATAATACAATATTCATATTGTGTTGCTCTCTTGATCTGCTGTCTTTGAACGTCTGATTGTTCAAGTAAAACAAGTTTTCTACAACACTTTCTATTTTTTCCTTTCTAATTATCTTTGTTACATTCTAGGGCTTCTTAAATTTTCACTCTGACATGTATGCTTCGTTCATTTTCTTCTGCAAGTATGAAAATTTCTCACTGGAGAAATGCATGGTTATGCTGTGGACTGGTAGAAGGCTAGACCATTTTTTATGTGCTTCTCCAATTGACCCAGAATTAGTTTCAAGGATTTCGTAGCTTCCTAATAATAATATCAACTATTTTGCTTTCTGGACTGAATGTTTGAAGAGTTCTTCATTCTCTCTCTTGATGTTCATCTAAAATTTTTTAATTTGTGATTCTATTTTGAAATAAAAAACGTTCAACAAATTGAAGGTCTTTATAACTGTAAACTGACGTGGAGGGAGTTAAAGTGGTTGAGTCATCCCCTCTTTTAGATGTCTGCTCATTTGCTAAACTTAAAGCATATGTACATTATGCATCTGAATAACATGTTGATCTTTCATAGTAATCATTGTGTTTATTTTGATTTCAGGTTTCTGCAAAGAATGAAATGACTTTTTTTGCTGGACAGATATACTACAATTTGACTGAAAAATTTTTTGCAGATGGAAGAGTACTTGAGGTAAGCAATCTTTGCAAACACATTTGACAGTGCAGCTTTAGTTAAATCTGGTTACATTTCTACCTCCGTCTGCCAGCGTTTACTGCTATTAAAATCTAATGGTTTTTTCCCATCACTTGTTATTTTTTTTAATGTCCTCCAATTTGTAGTGTGATTATTCTCTATAGTTTAATATTGAACATTAAAAAAAATAATAATAAATTGGTAAATATGTCATCTCTAACGGAGAAAATTTGTTGAGTAGGGGCTTTCATATGATAAAGAGGCTTTACATCTAAGATATAAAGTCTTAAAGACAAAGTTTCTCATATCCAATAAGAGACCTGTAGAACTTACAAAATCTTCAACAGAAACCAATGATGAACATGATCATCTTTGTCTTGAGTTGCTTGGATCAGCTATCGATGACGTTTGGCGAGAATAATTAACCTGGAAAGTTGTTCTCTTAGCCATTGGATCATTCTTTGTTGCTATCTTGAAAGTATTTTGCAGGTCTATTACATATTATGCAAATTTTCTATTTTTTTTTTCTTTCACTTATAACATATGCATAGATTTTATTTATTTTGTTCTTCACGTTGGGATTTTCCATGAAGAAATAGGAGACGGGGTTCAAGCGGTTACACATTTCTTTTTTGGAAAAAAATTATCTTTTTTTACAATCTTTACCATATTTTCCAATTGCTTTCAATTGTGCTCTAGGTATTTGCCATGCATTCTTCATTTTATTCGTTTGTTTGAAATCCAAAGAAATATTAGTTGTTTTGACCAACTTTTTTTTTGTTGTTTTCATTCTTCAGGTCAGTTGTACCGTAAGAAGCTGTTCTGGGATTTGGCAGAAGAAGAATTTAACTTTGCTCGAATGCTCTTACAGGAAAATGCCATCATAATTTCTTGCAGGCATTGCAAGTTGATTTTTGACGTTACAATTGATATGCAAATTGCAGATTCATCGACAGAACGCTTGAATAAAGGTTCCCATGTCCAGTCTCATGCTCTTGATATCTATAGATCATTTTGAGAAAACTAAGTAATGATAATGTGGAAGGTTCTTTTATTGGTTCCTGGAAACAATATAGTACTTGCGAATCTCTAAGAAAATTCTGTCTTGAAGACAACATGCATAATTTCATAAACAACACTAAATTACATCCATGGGAGAGTGACAGAAAATTAGTTCCTTGTCACATTTGCTCTTTTTGAGAAAATAGTTTTGATTCTTTGAAAGTTGAGCAACAGAGCTCAGTAATATGAACCGTGCTCTTAAATGTTATTTGTTTATTTGATTTTGGATGCTCCTATGGAGTTTTTACTAAAGTTCAATGTTTGAGATGTCTTTGCCTCATAATGATAAAAGAGGGAACCATGCAGAATTTTATTCATTTTAAATGGCAATGTCAGCGAAGAAGTCTTTTATTAAGGATTTTACTGAAAATTGGTATGTATTTTTCTCATGAGAATGCCTTGGCAAGATGAGCTGTTTTTTCCTTGCGTATTTATCTGACTGTTTATTCCTTTATGTATTTTTATTTACCAAAATCTTTCGAGGCGCCTTGCGAAAAACAGGATGCACGTGAAGTACATGGTGTATTTTGGCAATGCATCTCTGTACTGTTTGATGGAATGCCTTATTTTGATGCTAATTTCCATGGCTATGATTTAAATTTGTTCAAATTAATGGGGGACAATAATATAGGGGACGTTTTTTCTGCTAAACGTGCCGCTTTACTGTACAATATGAGCTGGTTCTTTTTGAAAGATGTTCATCCAGATCACATGAGGTGATTAATTAAGTTGCGTTTTGTTCTGTTTGGTACAAATCTGATTCCCTTTTTTTGTTATTCGCGAAGCTTACTTTTATCACTTCTGTTTTCCAGCTCCAAATGTTGTTCACTCTCAAATGTACAGATGCAAGACATCATTTTATGGTTATTAATGATCATGGTTATTAATGGCCTTCATACTATGCCGAGAGATCCCATCACTTTTTCAAAAGGTTAGTGAAAATATATTGACATCATTGTGATTTTTGGAAAAATATATTTTTTCCCTAAACCAAGTCCTATATCTCTTCGTAGGATTGCCAACTTTTGGAATTTTTAAATTATGAATTGCAAAGAGCTTATTTTCTGTAGCACAAGTGTCTCGACTCATTGCGTCGCTGATCTTACTATTAACTTTAGGGGACTCCATTCCTCCACCTCTTTGCTCGCAAGGATCACTTTCTTTAAGCCATTGGGCTGCATTTTTTCATCAAGCTTCTATTGGTTCAATTGTGAACTGTCAATATCTTTCTTATTTTAGAGATAAGGAATGCAATTTCAAGGCTTTTAAGGTGCGTAATTAAGAATGCAGTAGGTTGTCCGTTGAAATTTTGTGCTCATAAGAAATTATAAATCTCTAACTTGTCTTGTAATCAAATGTTTGTTTATTTTGGAAAATTTTCAAGTCATGCTCATTTATTTTACAAGATGATAGGCGGAATAGAACTAGATGCTAGGCTGAGGTTTGTATAGTTTTTGCATTTTTTATTTTCTTTTTCTTCAAATTTATTTTGTAACAGTTTTAAGTAGCATATAGGAGTGGTTTGTTTTGATTAAAAAATCAATATTTGACAATTACTGTTCTTTTGATATTTTGTAATTTATTGCCTTCATCTTAAATAAATAAATTATGTGGCCAAAAACCATTTGTGCACAAAATTATAGACGATGGTATAATAGGTTGCATGATTTTAATTCTTCGTAAAATCATCCATCTTGACTTTGCTACCATTAAATTTTTTCAATTGAGAATCAACTTATGGTGCATGATTTTACCCACTATGTTAAAGTTAAAATATAGGATGAAATCATTTACATTGATTTCTAGATATACGTTTTATCACAACCTGGTCTGGGGCTTTTAGAAAATTTCAAGTTTAGAACCGACAGCCGGGCGATGTTAATCAAACTTTTTTTTTCTATTTTAATTTCTATATTTAATATTTAATTATTCAAATATAAATGATTGTGACTACATAAAAGAAAATAGTTGATGCAGCGAGATTTATCTTATTTTTGGTTGTTCGTACCTTTTATAAACATTCTCTCCTCTCTTATTTATCTTCTCTCAAAATGTTGGACCTGAAGTTAATGTAAAATAAAATAATCTAACCAAAACTAGTGAAAACTTCTACTACAACACTATAGTAACACAATGTAGAAGAAAATAATATGCATGTCAGTTAAAAGTTAATTTTTTTGATAAATTAGTGTAAAAATTTGTCATTTTTTTTAAGAATGAGATTAATCAAGAAATTTCAAAACCTTTATTACATAATATTACATCTTTTTCATATCTATATCATTTTACTTACAACCATCACTGGAAAACTCTCTAAAATTATATTATTTATGATATATGAAAATCAATTAACTTTTTCATTTATGTGCTTATGTTCCTTAACGTCTCACAGCTAATACTATAAGAGCGTGAACTCCATGGTAAATCGTGCACATGGAATCATACTATATAATCCATATCATTAATATATTTTTTCTTTCAATTTTTCCTTTACATAATATACAAAACAACCATATTATTGTTTTCATATAGTTGTCTACTTTTTTCCTTCCCCTCCCGATTTGGCGTCTCTTGCCGCCAATCCTTTCTCTTGTCGTTGTTTTATGATGATAGCCCGCTCGCTGTCTTTCTGCGATTCCAACCCCCTTTTTAATGTCAATGCCGTCACAACCAACCCGCACCCTCCTCCTCTCAGATGTCAATGCCGTCACAACCAACCCGCACCCTCCTCCTCTCAGCCTCCTACCTCGCTTCCATGGCTTCGTGAACCCCCTCGCTGAGTTGTCTATCACTGTCAATCACCATTCTGTCACCTTCCTCTAGCCTTTTCAACCGTCCTGCATAACTTCCACTACCTTGTAACTCCATCGTATTGTCAAGCTACTGCTGTCTAGCCATCCTACTTCGCTATTTTTTCTTTTTCTCCTCATCCTTAGCCTCATTTTTAATTATTTGTTGGCTTTAGCTATCCTCATTCTCTATTTTTTTTTCTTACTGTTGCATGAGGTGCTAGACTTATTTTGTAATTTTTTTTACATTACAGCTCCATCCAATTTAGAAAATCATGGTTCTTAATCTAGATTGACATCTTTTTGTGGAAAGAATTCATGTTTCTTAATCGGCATTTATTCTATTTATTTTGTATTTATTGTATAATGTTTTTGGGATGATTACATACAGGGCAGCCAAAACATTGCTATTTACAACATTGCTATTTACAAATTAAGCAAATTAAGCACCCTCTTTCATTCATTTTTCAAATTTTCACTCAAATATAAAAAATCATGATAAAACCCCAACACATATTTTTTATTTTTATCAAATTCACAATGGTTCGATTGGGGCACGTGTAAATGTATCAATTTCATAATTTAAAAATCACTTAGATGCGTGATTTGTAAATAACAATGTTTATTTTACTCGAAATGTAATCATCCCATTTTTTCCACAACTTCCATTACAATTTAGAAGTGTGACGAGTTTTGATTGTATTGAAGAAATTATTTGACTGATGCTTTAGTTCTGATCTCCTCAGTTCGTAGAAAAAACTTATGTAACATGTTCGATTTTGTTTGCTTTCTCATGCTAGTTTGACTTTTTTTGGCAGGAATTTAACTCTCTTGATCTTGTTTTTCTTCTCATTTTTGGTTATTTGCTGGGCCTAAAAAGCGAGAATGTATTGGAATACGGTGCAAATGTAAATTACATCTCAAGTTTTGTTCTGTTTAAATTATACCTCTTAATTTCATGTTTTTAGGATCTAATTGAATATTAACAATTATAATTATGTTTATTTTATTCCAGATATGTCAGAAAAACTTGAAAATCTTGGAGAGTTCATTGAGCACTTTTTCCTTGGCCTCCCTAGAATTTCAATTATTTGCATTAGCTTGCTTGATGATGATTATGCAAACCTACTTTGCGAGGTACTGATTCTCCCGCCTTTACCTCGCTTGTTGTAAGTTGCGACGTCGTACCGTCAGTGAAGAGTGAGGTTGGTTCCGGTACAACGATGATATTGCTTCGAACATCGTTTTACTTTTGTGTTTATCGTTATTACAGGTGTTACATCCCTTAAATAGAATGAAATTGTACTCTAAAAGATTAATACATATTTTAGTTTAATATAGCGTAAATATTGAAGTTAAACTTGCTCATGAAATCTTGGGATATGTGACATAAGAAATTGCACTATATGACAAAATGGTGATGTCATTAGGTCAAAGTGGATAATATCTTTATGGATGAGAATTTGAGCGATATCAAAGTCTATCGTCATATTCAATATCACTAGTCTTCTTGGTACCGTGGAGGGAATAAATTCTTTTAATAATAGTTAAATAGATTCCAAACTCTGGCACATGCATCTTATGAATGTCATTAACACTCATCACGTAAGTGACCAATTAAAGCCTATGAGGTCCCAACCTATGCTACTTCTAACTTCAGCCTTCGTTGGGTATGAACTTCATCACAATTTATCTCTACGACCTGCATGACTCATGACCCACTTTTTTACTACGACCCCTATGACAACTGATGCTCTCGAAGTACCATCTATGACTTAGATACATACATAATCAACTATTACCCGCGACATTCACTTATGACATCTATCATAAGTTTGCTCTACAACATTCATTGCGCGGTAATAACTTCATAATCATCGACTACGAACTTAACGTTCTGCTATAACTATTATTGTTGAGCCATCACTGTATATCAATATTGGAACATCTTCTTCCCTAATTTTGTAGTAGAGTAAACCCATGTTATCACAATTATGTAGTGAATTATTTTCACCGTGCTAGATGCCGTTATTTTTTTCCCTTTTTTCTAGGGATTTCGAGTAAATATTGAGGAGTCTTCTTCTGTATATTTCTTTTTTATTTATATGTATTAAATTTTTGTTTACTACTGAAGCGTTAAATTATTATTCTACAGTTGCAGACCTTTGAGATCACATCAATATTGAAGTTTAACTATTCGATATATAAATACATAAAAAGTTTGTGGTATGTTTGTAAATCTTACGATATATTCTAGCTATTTTCTTATGCGTGCATTTTCTTTTGCATTTTCCTGTGCGTGCATTTTCTTGCAATTTCTTGTTTGTGCGCCCACCGACGTTATTAAACTTGAGCAGCACCTCCCTCTATCTCATTTCAAGTTTTCTCATTCGAGGGTCTCCTCCGCTGCTGAATCACTAAGCTCTCGCCTGTCCGCTGCTGAATCGCACTTGCGATAAATTACGACCCGACTTAAGCTGCGACTTTGCTTGTGAGCTTTAGGGTACCCTTTCAAAGATTTATCTTTGATTCACCTCCTTTTCACGACCCTTCGACAAATTCATTTTTGTTGATAATTACAATTCTTGTGATGTTAAGAAATACCCTCGGAGGAAAATGAAACAGAAATAACAGAGTGTCGGCCACATAGGTAGTCAGTTCTACCAATTTCTTTTGAGTGCACTACATCTACTTTCGTAATGCAAGAGGAAATGAAAATCGAGCTCTTTGAAATTTACCGGCTAATAATGCATTGTCTTCTCTGCATCGCTCGTCCCTCCAACAAGCCATACACGGTTCAACTTATTTGGGGTCGTCTAGTCCTTTGTTTTGAACATTGGAATAAGTACAATGAAGCTGAAGAAGAGGGCTTTGCTCTTCTAGAGAGTCTTTGCTCCATGTTGGTTACTCCTTCGTCCCCTTTGAACTCAACAGTACTCTTCCTGTCAGATGTAAGCACAGGGGCATACCCTAAGTTTGCATGTGTAGTATGTGGAGTAGTAATAGTCCTTACACTTTGCGCTTTTAAGAGACAGTCAAGGGACGAGTGTTTTTAAGAGAATATTGGTTCTAGCAGAGCAAACTCATTCATGTATTTGGTAGGTAGACATGAATTTTCTCTTCTATACTTGTCGATTAAATGCTCTTGTCGTCGATATGATTTTTGTTCATCTTTTTATGTGTTTTTTTTTCTATAAGTATCATGGAGACAAATGCTATGACAAAACACCACACTACCTTTATCAAAGTTCTCTATAGTTGCGCGTTCTTTGTAGTTAAAGAATGCAAGTCATTTGATGATGATCTGGTGTATTCTTTCTGTCTAAAAATATTGAAGGAGTGTACAAACTCACCATTGTTAGATTACTTTCCTATTGTACGTCAAATGTATTTTATTTTTGTTGTCAGACTGCATTGTTTTTATCACTAGAATGCTAAATGTATGTCTTAATGTTCGATGATATTAAGATTCAAATATAGT